GCTCAAAATTAAGTAGTGTGACCAATTTGATACATTTCAGCACTGAGACTGTGAAAACAGATTGTAAATATGATTTTGAGTCTTAGTACATATTATATTGGACTTGCCGATATACCAACATGCAAGCATTTATGAGAAATTTTGGCTGATAGAAAGGATGGACCCTGGGAAAAGTTAAATCAAAGATGAACAAAGATGTAATACATATCTAGAAAGTATTTCAAGTTTGCTGTGATTTAGGTGTAAACAAAATCTAGAATCTAGAATGAATTAAATAGGATACTATAAAAATGGCTATTCTATGAATATTACAAAATCATCATACCTGTGGCCCCAAAAGGCAGATCTAAGGGCCATTTCTGCAGACCAGCCATCTATCAGCGAGACAATACTTTCCACTTTATCCTCTGTGTGTGTGCGGTGCCCTCTCTCTATCTTCTTCCTTCTTTTTCTTGTGTAGTGTCAGTGTCACCCTTTCACTCATCTTATTCAGCCCTCTTACTGCAGGTGGTTCCTCATTTCTTTACACTCTCAATCTGTATAAGCGTCTGGAGTACTCAGTGCCTGTTTACATATACCTTGACACTAAGGAGCTTCTATATGAAATATGTTTAAAACCTGGAATAACATAACAAGATATTAAAGCTATTTCTTAAAGGATAAGTGCCCTTTACAAGAAAGTGCACTTATCCTTTTGGCCCCTTTAGGATGACCTCACCGATCCTTCCCTTCACCTGGACAGATGCATACTTACCGAGTCCCGACGGGCTCAGCTTCTATTGCTTTTTTACATCCTGCCTCTCCCCCTCCTGGATACACCTGCACAGTACATCCCCAATGACTTCTATAGAGCTCATCTACTCTGTCTCCTGACCGGAAGGTGAACCCAATAGAAGTCAATGGGGATATACTGCGCAGGAGCGTCCAGGAGAAGGAGATGTTTACTGCAGAACGTAAAAACACAACAGTCTGCAACATCAGAATGGACTTACTCTTCAAGTGATCTGAGGCGATAAAGAGGAGGAACAGATTGGAAAGTTACTTGCCGGCTGTTCAATAAAGTTCACACAATTGGATGTGGTATGCCAGGAGTCTGACTGGCACCAACAGCTGGTCCCTATGCCTTTAAGGAGGTTGGCCTACCTCCAGACGAACCTGCACCCAATTCATCCTTTGCTATAAATATGCTCTAAGATGGAGGCTCTCATAGATTAGAGTTAGGACCACAGTACACAGAGGGGTCTTGATGAGGCATGGCGGCTTCCACATGGTTTGCAAAAGTTGTGCAACTAAAACCTCTGTTTTTAACCTTAGTAGTTAGAAAGTGTATTTTTGTGCAGGCTGGCTGGTGGGTATGCTGGGAAAAGTCCTTCCATGCACACCTTGCTTTAAAGCTAGTTATGAATTGATTAGTGCGTTATGAATTGATTAGTTGCCATTCGTTTCACTTGTTGGTCTTGTATCCGCCCCCTCCTGTAAATTTCTGCAGGCGTTCTATCAAAGATTGTGACTGGGTTGGAATGTGTGACCGGTCACGTGGTCACACATTTTAACGTAATCCCGCCCACTTTTTCGGTGGTGGAATATGTGACCGGCAAAAAGTGAGGAATTCCAAGCTTTCTCAGCTGTTCCTGGGCAGGTCGGCATCGCAGATGGTATGTGCAGGAGAACCAATCTGTCCTGGAACAGCTGATCGGTCTTGAAATGTCACTTTTATCCGACTTTGTGACTGCGATCTCACATTCCAGAAAGTCGGATAGAAGTGACATTTCAGGACCGATCAGCTGTTCCAGGACAGATCGGTTCTCCTGCACATACCCTCTGCGATGCCAATCTCCCCTGGAACAGCTGAGAAAGCGTTGGAATTCTTCACTTTTTGCCGGTCACATATTCCACCGCCGAAAAAGTGGGCGGGATCACGTTAAAATGTGTGACCATGTGACCGGTCACACATTCCACCGCCGAAAAAACGGGCAGGATTAAGTTAAAATGTGTGGCCACGTCACCCGTCACAAACTTTGATAGAACACAGGCAGCCTGTAGTGCAGTGGTTCTCAACCTTTCCAGGGCTGGGACCCCTTGGTAACATTTGCCAGGTTGTGGTGACCCCCAATGGTAAAATTTAGGAATGCTCTAATACTAGTATTTGTGTGGGCTCTCAGGTGGCCAGTGTGGGCTCACGTGAGCTCAATGGGGCTCTCTGGTGGCCAGTGGGGCTCTTTGGTGGTCAAGCCGGCATTCAACTCCCCTCACTCCCACCCACTCCCCTCTCTTTGATCCTCCTCGGCTGCCGGTGCTGGAGCGCCATCTAGCGGCGCGGCCGGAGAGCTGACACTGCTGCTCTGGGAGGTGGCTAAGCAGCCTCTCGCCTAGCGCAGCACAAAGCATGTGGTGACCCCCTCAACACTGGGTTGTGACCCACTTTTGGGTCACGACCCACAGGTTGAGAACCACTGCTGTAGTGGGAGGAACCTGCTGGGTCTCTCCTTCAGCTCTGCTCTTTGCACACGCTATGCACAGCCCAGTGATGATATGATGATATTTTTACCTTGCAATATCTGGGTTTGCAAAGGCATCTGGTGAATACAAAGTGGATTCATGTCCTTTGTAGATATTGAAGCTATTTGCTAAATAGATTTAAATGAAAGTTTTTGTGCCCACAGTTCAGCTTTCATAAATCTACAATCTACCCGTTATAAGCAAGCAGTCAATGTAACATCAGATCTAATTGCATCAGCTTGGCATTTTTCCTTTCCTCCAGCACAAAAGGGAGGGAGGCTGCAGGGGGTGTCTGCAGGGAGGGGATGTATTTTCTTCCTCTCCTGAAAAGCTTCCACACAGCAGACCTCATATCCTCTTTCTCTAAGCCTTGTGTGGTTTCTCCAAAATGTGCAATTGAAATAGATGAAAAAAAAATGAGTCTGACATTTCTGATGCGGTCATTGTAAGGTATCTCAATGGCATAGTGCAAACAATGAATTCTGGAGAAATTTACATTCTAGGCAAAAACCAGCAGTTAACCCCTGAAGGGGAAGCAAGCCAGGGTAAAATGCTAGTTTTTGCCATGGGTACCATGAAAATGCATTTTTACTTACCTTATTCTTCACTCCCCTGGCAGCCCGCCCGATGTCCTGGGGTGTCGGCATCCTCACTTAAAATGTAGGACTGCTGGTCCTGCATTGTACGTAAAGATGTCAGAGTGCAACCTCCAGATTGAGTGCCAAAGTGAAGCAGTTTGGGGGGGAGATTGAATCGGTTGCAATAAAGGAGGAAGGACGCAGGAGCAATGAATAAGGTAAGTAAGAGTAAAAGTAAGTAAAAGTGCTTTTTAAAAGGAGAACTATGAGGCGAGTGATTTCCACTCAGAGATTGTCACAGGTCGGCTCAGTAGATCGGGAAGTGAGCGAACACATACCGGCGCTCGCTCACTTCTCGATCTATCTGCGCAAAGAGCCGTGACTGTCAGTCACGGCTCCCTGCAGGGATCCCCCCCTCCCGTGTCCGATCCTCCAGCGCTGACTGGTGGAACGGACGGGAGAGGGGGCGGGTACAGCTGGCTCTGCCTCTAGATAGGCAGAGCCAGCTGTCACTCACGCAGCTGGGTGGATCCAGACAGAATTGTCGGGATCCGTTCTGGCTGCGGCGTCTCAGTATACCGTGAGCTGTATACTGAGTTTTGGGTGACGGGAGGACGTTACCCTTAGGAGAACTATGGGGAAAAGCCCTAACCCCATAGTTCTCCTTTAATGGTGCAAGGGCCCACTGCAAGGGTAGTTTTTTCAATTCCCTGAAGTTCTGCTTAAATAAACACATTAAGTGAAGTAAGCTACTCCTCAGAAACAGTTTATAAAGAAAAATGCTTACATAGTTCTTCTTAACCTTATGTGTCAACTGTGTTATAGTAAAGCAGGGCGTTGCTGGCATATATATGATTTATGTTTTATTAGTCACTGTGTTTTTTTTTGTTCAAGAAGAACTCAGTGAATTTTAAAAACTTTGCATTGCATGAGCTGAGCGCTCCTTTTGTCTAGGGAGTCAAATAAATAAGATATACTCACCTGAACCTCAGTCCGAAAACGGTCGGCATGAACCTTTCTCCCTCTCCACTCCAGTTATGGAATTACCCTCGGCGTCCTCAGGTCTAATGCAAGTCAATGGACCTGCATCAGACGTGATGACGTCAGAGGTCCTTAGACCCCTGGATCCCGGGGGAGAAGGGGCTGCGGGGACCGGTCTAGCATCCTGGCATGACCCGGGTCAGGTATGTATATCTGCTTTATTTGATTCCCCTAAACAAAATGAGCAGTTAACCCTTGCAGTGCGGGAGTAGCCGCACTGCAAGGCAATGTTTTTCCCAGAGTAGCTACTAGCTCTTATGAGGAGGATTTATCCCTTGAAACGCGTCAGCAAGACCATTGTTCTGGTTCACATTTCGGTTGTCTGACAGCTCAGCCCAATGGCGAATTATGTCCATCAGTCCAGAAGATTGTTCTGAAAGCTCATGTAACAGACACCGCTAGTGAGTATTATTTTATTCAGTTTTATTTGGATAAATAAACAGTATTTCACGAGGAGAAGGCACCGTTCTTTTGTTTTTTTCTTGCATGTTTCCTGAGGCTTCCCAACCTATCACGGAACAGCAGCCCCCTCTGTGCCACCATGTCGATGTCCATCCCTAAACATTCCCTCCGTATGATGCTGTGAGACCCCCACCAAGAGCTGGCAGATTGGAAAATAGGTGTACAAGCATGGACTTACGGTAGTGCCCTTTAGATATGCCATGAAGATGTAGCAGGTATCTGGCTGTGTGCCAGATCAGTGCCAGGAAGTTGGAGGATGATATTGTGCACCTTTTCCCATAATGGACGGGTGATCAGGCAGGTCCAGAAAATATGGAGTGAAGAGCCAGTGTCCCAGCCACAGCGCTATCACCTTATTGCACTGTTTATTTGCCTTTAGCCAAAAAGCTGAAATAAAATACAAATGATTTCATCATGTACCTGATATGTCCATGAAGTCATCCAGATTAGGCTGTAATGTTGCAAGCTCTGGCTGTATCATATCTGCATTCCCAACATAATCTGTAAAAGAATTTAAAACCGTAAAATAGGATTTTTCTCAGGTATGCACAAGTGAAATAGATCTATATGAAGAGTGTACTGTATTCAAGCATGTATGTATGTAGCTGGGGTGAACCAAAACAAACCACAAGTGTATGGCACTATTAACACCAGCAAAAGAGCACTGACTGTCACAAACAGGTAAAGCTGTCTGTGAATATCAAAGATACACTACAGCTTCCACAAAAAATAGCTGTTATTACACAAACAGGAGATAGGCAATATTAAAGAAGATGCTCATCAAAAAATAATTTGTTTAACATGTGCAAATAATTGCAAAACAAGGTGGCACAAGTGGCACGTACCAAAATCTGGATATTGATAAGCAAAGGGTTGACCATGAGTTGTGGTGAACAAAGTGTCAGAAGTATCAGTCAAGAAGCAGTCCAAATAAAACAGCATATCATCTTCCTTCCCCCGAGCTTCTTCTATTCGAGAGCATGCGGCAAACATTTCACTACATCTCCAGGAGGGGGCAACCTGGATAGCAAAAAGACGAGGCTGTTGAGGACAGTATTTGGCAGGAATGAAGCAGTGTTTACTATACTATGCACAAATCCAATTTATTTTGTATATGATTTAACATTAGTCTTTCTGCTGTTGTGTGTTCTGGTTTGTGTTGGCAGCTCAGATCATTTAGAGTTAGAGACCACAATTTGTAGAGGTGCAATGACATGCCATGTGACTTCACATGCATTTGAAAGCTGAAAAGTGTACTGGTACATTTTTGTATTGTTCTGTAGATCACTTTCGGCCCCTGTGCACCTTTCTTTTTGCCAGTTATAAATTGATCTGAGTGGAGGATATTTTTGCTTTGTTGGATTTGGTGCACACTGGGGTCTTTATATATATGGACCACACTTTGTCCAGATACATTATGGGGTACTGTAGCTTCACATGTATAAGCAAACGCATAGATCAAAAAACTCTGCTTTAAAGCAACTTAGATGTAAAAAAATATTATGTAACCTCCTGTTACTTGTAAAAGAGGGCAGTAAATACTCACCTTTCCTGGTCTCAGTGCCGCCAAACACTTTTCTGCTGACAAGTTTTGTATCCTGAAATTGGCTAAAACAAATTACAGTTCTGGGAATTAAAGAAAAAATAAAGTTCCGTCTCCAGGGTCCCCCACAGCTCTCACTAGTTGTTCCCTCTGGCCTTACATCACTACTGTATCCTACAGTGACATGAGGTCATAGATGAAGGTAAAATAAGATACAGTAGTGATGTCAGAGCAGAGGGAGGATTCAGTAAGACCCACAGGGAAACCAGGAGGTCAATACTCCAGGATAGTGACTGTTTGGTGCAAACCTAGTTCACCTGAATTCACACAAGCTCCTTCAAAACTGTGACCGCCATCCCCTCCTCCCAAGCCAATCAGTTGCGGGGAGACAAATTCCCTACCCAGTAGCTATTCATCACAAAGGGGCGAGGAATTTCTCCGCTGCATTGGCACCACTGATCGGGTTGGGAGGAGGGGGTGGCGGACAGTTTTGACTGGGTTTGGGCAAACTTAGGCGCACTGTGTTTAAAATAAGCCCAGTCTCATCTCTACTCCTGGAAGTGTGGGTTTCCCAGCAAACTTCTGGGGATGAGAATTTGTAAAGTGTGTGGTGTTTGTCAGGGCTGGGTCTGGGAAAAGTTAGTATTTACTGCCTTCTTTTATAGGAAACAGGGGGGTTAATAATAATTATTCATGACTGTGGTCGTTTCACCTAAAATATTAAATATGTGCTTATGAATGTTTGCATTGTTCATGTGTGTTTCTGTCATAACTATTGTTCATCAATGTCTGCCAGTCTTGGTACCAGTGTCTGTGAATTTGTGTACAAGTTACTTTTTCTGTATTAGAAAACATGACACCTATTAAGTATATTAGTTTATACAGGTGAAACTCGAATAATTAGAATATCGTGCAAAAGTAATTGCAGTAAGTGCTGCAAAAGGGGCCCAAACCAAGTACTGAGTACATATGCATGCTTGTACTTTTCAGAGGTCCGATATTGTTCTATGTACAATCCTTGTTTTATTGATTGCATGTAATAATCTACTTTTTTGAGGTTGTGGATTTGGGGTTCTTGGGGTTTTCATGAGCTGTAAGCCATAATCATCACAATTATGACAAATCACGGCTTGAATTATCTTGCTTTGCATGTAATGAGTCTATCTCATATATTAGTTTCACCTTTTAAGTTGCATTAGTGAAATAAATGAACTTTGCACGATATTCTAATTATTCGAGTTTCACCTGTATGTTCTCTGAATATATTAAATTAGACTTTTGTCAGTCCAATAGACAGTACATTCATAATAAAGCCCATGTTTAGTAAATTACTGCATTTTATGATACCACCAACCTTTTTTTCTTGAAAGCGCTTTCCATCCTGATGATGTTTATTAAGCTAAAAGAAATAAGGTAGAAAAATTAAATATATTGTGAGCGTACAAAGCATTTTAAAACCTGTAGCCAACAAACAGACAACATTAACACTCAATAAGAAACATTTACCGAAAACTAGGGATGCACCGATATATCGGCCGAAAGTGCCATTTTCTGCTGGGCGCTGCTCTGTGTCCCAGTGGGGAGGAGAGAAACTGTCACAGGCGGCTAAACGATATGGGAGGAGAGCTCAGTGAACGGCCGGCTTCTCTCCTCCCCCGCACCGCTCAGCCTCCTGACACAGATCAGAGGAGAGCAGTGTGGGCGGAGTCAGGCAGCGCTGTCACAGCAGGCTGAGCTCCCCCCCAAAGCGGCGGCCCGGGCGGGCGGGCCCCCCCCCCCCCCGCTCCAAGATGGCGGCTGGCATGCGCAGAACACTCCGGCAGCCAATATAGCCGCCGACGTGTTCTGAAAACGAATTTATGTATGCCCGAATATCGTTTAGGTATATTCAGGCATATATTAAATGTGCTATTTCTGATTCGGACGAACCGCCGAATCAACTGATTTTGGTTGATTTGCAGGTTCGTCCGAATCCGAATGCACATATCTACCATTCATTTCAACAATAATCGCCCTATAAGATCATATGTGCATTTCATGTATTTTAGGTATGTTATTTACCTGTAAAAGCTTCCACTGTGTAGACATCCAGAAGCCTTGAAGATGCTTCTGGGAGTCCACCATCTTAGATGTCAGTAGCCCTAGTGAACTCAGAGCCGTCACTTAAGTGATACTCTATAGCAGTGGCGTAACAATCGCCATAGCGACTCAGGCGGCCGCTATGGGGCCCGGGCACAGAGGGGCCTGGGCACAGAGGGGCCCGACCAGGGCATCCCTCTGATGTCATGTGGGCCGCCATGGCATGTAAGAGTGCTGGCTGTCACTGACACAGCTCAGCAGCAGCTGTGAAGATCACTGATTTCCCCTCACAGCCGCTGCAGAGCTGTGTCAGTGACAGCCAACAGCTGCGGCAGAAGAGGCCGGCGTTCGCAGTGAAGGAGGAGGCAGGGCCCGCCTAAGAGCAACCCCGTCTCCTCTTACATCACTGGCCAGCGACCTAAGAGCAGGCGGGGCCCGTCAATAGAAGAGGAGGCGGGGCACGGGGATGGAAGAGGAGGCAGGGCCCGGCGACCACAGAGGCAGACAGCGCTGACAGGTAAGAGGTGTGCAGCCCATCTGAGCCCCTGCAGAGCCCACTATAGAGAGTCTCTGGTGGGCTCTTCAGGGTCACTCTCAGGTGGGCTGTTTGGTATATCAGGTGGGCTCTGCAAGTGGCATAACTAGCAATCACGGGGCCCCATCAAAATTTTGCTATGGGGCCCTGCGATTTCTAGTTACGCCCCTGCTCTATAGTTCTTCCCTTCACTCTTCCGGCAGCTTTTTGAAGGTTATGTAGGAAAGAGAAGGGAAGGCCAGAGGAGATGGGCCAGCGCAGAGAGTAATTAGAGAATCCCAGAAGAGGGCAGGGCTATGACGTGCTAGTAAACTGACTCTTCTAATGCAGTCAAGTTTTATAGCAAGTACAAATGCACACTGCAAGTCAATTGAATTGTTTAGAGAAAGGAAAAATGCTGCAAGTAAGTATTGAAAATACTTGATTTTTAGTGCTTTTACCGTTATTTTTTAAGCTGGTAACAGGGTCTATTGAAGGGAGGTTTACATTTTGAATAACGAAGTGCAGAGGTACAGGGCTCCATCTAGTGGGTGAATCAGTTACTGAGCAATGCAAAGTTTTAGCCTTTGAAAAGCCAAGCCCATTGCTCAGAAAGGGATCTCTAAAAGTAGTCTAGCCTTCCAACTTGACATCAACCATTATTTTTTCAAGTAAGAGAAAAAGAGTCATATAAGAGTAACATGTTCTTACCCGTTTCTTGTAATAAATCCTCCACTTGTTATATTCTTTCATGACTACTTCTATTCTTCTCTTCCAGTAGTTTCCCTCCAGTACCACAGCCTGAAGAACACAGAACGTTGAAAACATGTATTTGTATTCTGTGATGTCACCTAGAAATCTCTCTAAGTTATCCATATTGAGCTGTCACATTGGTCTAACACAAAATGGTGAACACAATGTAATAGACACATCATTACCTCTCTCGTGCCCATCATTTACTACATGCTACTGAGAAGTAAAAAAATAACATCCAGTAAGCAATGATAAATCAGCTTACATAGCACTAATCACATCATACTGAAATCTGATTGGGTGTCATCACTGATCTCTGCTTTGCTTTCCTCAATAAGCATGGTTAGGTTTTATAGAAAATTCTTACTATTAAATGATTAGCTACACAAATAGAACATTCAACTTGTTTAAAATCTATACCACTGCAATTCTTGCATCTCCAATTAGGACAACCCAAGGCCCGAGGACTAATGTATATGGACTTTGAGGATGAGCTGAGGTCACTTTGAGATCAGTCAATTCATAACAAAGACATGGCATGCACATTGTGAAGGCATTTCAAAAGCCTAAGAGTAATTTCACTAAACTATATGAGTTATTATAACTATACTAACTAACTATACTCATAGTTTAGCTGATTATAATGTTCAGTTTACAAGCATCGCTTAGGGCAGTGGTGGCGAACCTTGGCACTCCAGCTGTGCCAAAACTACAAATCCCAACATGCATCTGCCTCTGGGAGTTATGTCTGTGGCTGTCAGAGCCTTGCAATGCCTCATGGGACTTGTAGTTCCAAAACAGCTGGAGTGCCAAGGTTCGCCACCACTGGCTTAGGGCTTGTTCACAATATTGTGCTGCCGTGATCACATTGGGGGAATTTATCAAAACTGGAGCAGACAGAATCTGGAGCAGCTGTGCATGACAACTTATCTCTTCGGTTTGTTCAGTTAAGCTTTGAAAATAAAAGACAGAAGCTGATTGGTTACTATGGACAACTGTTCCAGATTTTGTCTGCTCCAGTTTGAATAAATTCCCCTTATGTTCTGCAATGCATGGTAACACATAGAGCAGTGTATAGCGGTATGGTAACTGGTGCAGGTCCAGTTTTTTATCAGTTGTGGTGTGTTAGGAGTGTTTTTAAATGAATGGGCTGCCTTAATGCATAGCACATTAAGAAGCAATGTACAGTAGTGTACATTGATGAAGATGGAATAACCTGCTGCAACGAACCACCCTGGTGTGACTGACGGAGAATAGCAACTGTGCCTATTCTTTTTCACTGCCATAAACTCCTCTACTAAATGAACTTCTCCATCCAACATTTAGCATCAGTTACCCTTTGTTCATGATGACTTATTCATTATTACCTCTGGTTTACGGTGATCATCTCCTTCTGATCCATCCAAAGGTGTTACAAAGCCACAAACAGGTGTTTTCCTTTTCTCCACATCTGCACAAGTAACCAGAAGCCATGTCAGCCACATGTAATGATTGTCTACAATTTAGAATCCCACCAGACTACTTAGCATCTATATATGACGGTGATCAAACCTTCACTTTAAAGCACCAGATAGTGATGTCACAGACTATGAATGGTAAAAATACATTTAGTTCCTAGAGGTGTAGTAGTAACGTTAAATTATTACGAGATATTTTCAGATTTTCTAATTTGCTGATATGAATTCCCAATATAACAGATCACCAATCATACAATCTTGCCCACTGAATTAATATTATTGATCATGGCATAAACAAACTCAGATCACATTTTATACCACACCTTTGGGTTCCTGTCCCCAGTGTACACCCAATGTATGCAAATCTTTAAAGGGTTCATTTATAAAAGGAAATTGCTATGCTCACCAGTGCCATGTAGGGGAACTAGTGCCGTGCAAATGGCATTTGCCCAGCATACTTTTAGAAATGAACCCCTATGTGCATGTATAGCCAACCACTTTGTCACTCAGCCACCATCATGCCACTTATGTCGTATGATTGGAAAGCCTGATTGGAAACTGCTTGAATGTGCGTCCTGTGTGCTCTGATGCTGTCATAGACGTAGATAGCATGAGGGGAGCTGATCAACACCAAGAGCTGCAAGGTGTCACCAATAGCAATAGCTGGTAGTTTTCCAATGCTGGTTGTTGGGCAACTGAAGTGTGAACAACAGGCAAACATGATATTATGCATTTATCAAGGTACATGTGTTATATGGCTGTTTGGGACTTGTTTACACCATGTCCGGATCAGAACAGTTTGTTCCCGGACCAAAAAAGCATCCCAATGTATCCCTATGGTTTTTCTGGGCTCTGTTCACACCAGCGCAGTCCGTTCCGGTCCAGACAAAAAGAAAATACAGCTTGTCTCATTTTCTCTGGTCTTGAATACACTGGAATGCATATAAATACATAAAAAAGCATGCAAATGCACTGGACCACACCTGAAAGCCGATTTTAGGCTAAAAGAAAAACGCACCAGAAAACGGCAAAAATGCACTGTACTGCATTTGCAGATCTTCTCCAGATCTGGTCCGGATATGGTGTGAACATAGCCTTAATGTTCATAGAGTATTTCTAAGGTGAACTTTCACTTTAAAGCATCACTACAGCCAAATAGTTTTTTTTTCACTTTTGGATAGGGTGAGGAAAAGTTAAAAATGTTTCTTTTGTTCTGTGACCTTACTTCTTGTCCCTGTGACACCAAAACAAGGAATAGGGAAGTAGTTGTCGATGAAACAGGAAGGCACAGACAGTAATAAAAAAACTCAACAAATGCTTTTTGTTTGTGTTTTCATGTTGAAAAGATTTAGGATTAAGGCATTTAAGGAGGGATGGGCTGTTTTTATCACTAGGTGTTAGACAGTATTTATATATACACACATATATATAATTTTATTTTCTTGCAGGCTAGATGGTAAGTGTGCTAGGAAATTATTGAGTTTGTACTGTGGAAAGTCTTTCCATGTGCATCTTACTTTAAAAGCTAACTATAAATTAATTTGTGCAGTTGCCATATTTGTTTAGCAAGTTAAAAAGATGTCCCATCACTTCCAGTTATGACAGGAAGTGAGGGGCAATCTCCCGAAGAGGGCCGCAACCAGCAATAAAAAACTGACAGCACTATCAACTAACCATTTCCTGCTCCATGTAAATCAAAATAAAGAGTTTTTGATGAATTAGGGCTTAAAGTGACATTAAACCCTTACTGTAATCCATGGTTGTTTCCCTTCTCTTTGCTGCTCTTCCTTTTAAATCTTTATCTCTTCTCATGCTGTGCAGAACTTCTGTTTTGCAGCAGACTGCCTTGTCTCTGAAATGGATACATGGTGTCTGCGTGTAGGTTTGCAACCTGAGCCAGCACTACAGGAAGAGGCACTCAGCTGCAAAGGGAAGTTCTCCCCAAGCATGAGAAGACATGAGGATTTAAAAGGAAGAGCAGCAAAGAGAAGGGAAACTACCATGGATTACAGTAAGGCACACATTACAGTATTGGTTTATGTTAAAAAATCTGAGGGTTTAATGTCACTTTAAGGAGAACTCTGGGCATATTAGAAAAAAATATATTTCCAGCAGTAACATCCCATGCATGCCATGACATCAAATACATATAGGCTATATACTTGATTTTATTTGTACTTGTATATATTTCCTTACATTGCAAGTACCACGCTCTCCAGATAGCATTGTTCAGACGGATCTTATCTCTCCACAGTAGTCTTAAGCCCTTGAAATTCTTCCATTTTGGAGACACCAATTTGCCACTGAAAAAAATATATTTATTTGATATCAAATCAATATGTGATATAAAATCAATTTATGTTGGGTTTTTTTTTTATTCTTTGCGGAGACAAATTCTGATATCGTAAAAATAGAGCCATTAAACTCGTAATCTAAGTGAAAGGTTAGTGCTAAACCGTCTGACATCTCATCCAAAATGTTAGCTTTATGGTAATGAAAAGGGATCCATTAGGAAATTCAACAGAGGAACCTTCAGCAACTTAAGATGGCCATACACAGCTGAATCAACCAAAATTGGATCTGTGGGTGGCCCTGTCAGCATCCCCTAGCACAGAGGAGCTGGTTAGAAAATTCTCAGACAAACAGTGACTGCAGTCAATCAGCCGGGGAGTCGAGTGGATTCCTACAGCACATGGCCAGCTTTAGTTCCAGCTCAGGAGCTTAACTGAAAAGTAATGATCACCTCTACTCCAGCTCCAGGCCATATAGCCATCTAGAGATGCTTACTGACTGGTTTGTCTTGTTGGCTGGATTTTCTCCTTAAAATACAGGTTACACCAGAATGCTTTAAAACCTAATAGATAATAATGGTTTAGAAGTTCAGAAATAGTTAAGATGAGTGAAAATTATGTAGGGAGGAAGCTGTTTGAAAGTGCTAATGCAAAGACTGTCATGTCGGGTGACTTGTGTTAACATCTCTGAGTAAAGAACATCTATTATTGTGAAGATGAGCAGAGTTTAATAAAGTGCAAGAGAAGTGAAACACAATGAGGATATCCCCAAGATACAACCAGAGGATTTTCACTGGGGGCAGTTCTGAGATATAAAGAAAATATACATTCCATATGACTATGTATTTGGATGCTGATAAGGACATTTGTAGGGGTTATTTTTGTACCAGGCAGTAAGTCAGGGTTACACAATGGTCATGATTAGGGCCAAGGGTTGGAGGGCTTATTTTTGAGTTAGGATAAGGTCTAAGTTTACGGGGAGGGATAGCATTAAAGTAGATGTAAAACCAATTACTAAAATCTTATGTATGTTTTAACACGTTAATATTATTCCAAGATCTGTTTCCCAATCGTCCTCCTGCATTGTCGGTCACTTTCCCGTTCCCGCGATGGAGACTGTAGGCAGCCATGCAGACACAGATTGCGCAGGCATGATCCACCGTTGTCACTATCAGGAAGCCAGTCCTGAGTAATGACATGCAGCTGAAACTGGAGTGAGTGCATGTAGACAGGAAGTGGCTGAAAGAGACTGGGGGACATCAGCATCACTGAGAATGATTAAAAAAATGAAGAGTAATTAATTTTAAAAATAACATGGCATTTATTAGGATACACAGTGCTATAGCATACTGATTGTTATCCAGTTAGGGTTTAGGAAAGTCGCAGGTTGGTCCTTTATACACGCAGACTCTCAGGTGGTCACCAGGGGGCCGGTCGCTCTCAGCAGGTGCGGGCGGCGTGGTTCCACAGGAAAGAGGAGATTTGCTGCCGGCAAATTTTAGGTATAGATCATTATCATCTATTGTCATTTATAGTGTGCCTTGTTAAGAGGGAAAAACTTGGCATAATAGCTCACCATTCCACCGGCAGTCATGTATGTAACCAAAGTTACATTGTAATTTAATTGTATATATACAGACACACACTGCTGGTGGCTGTGTACAATATCTGGACTAAGTTCAGAAAATCTGTAGACTGCAGTGAATTTTGTTGTTAGTAAAACAAGGATGATTGACGATGAACAGATCACACCAACCATCAGATACTGCCAGACACACCAGACCGTCTGGCTCATGTCACAGTAATATTCAGATGCTAAATCTGTGACTCATCCCTAGTTTTTACTACATATAAAAAAAAGAATATTAATAAGCAGTATTTCAGTAAAAAATTAGACGAAGATATAATAAGAATAGGATAGGCCAGTTTGTTCTGGTGCTGAAATCTCAACAAGTGGAATGTAATTGGGATACTTCCATGCTATTGGCGCAGAGTGGTGTAAAAAGGGGTGAGTGTACAGACAAGGGGTTAATTAGTACTAGTCACATTTTAGTTAGGGTTAAACTTAGCTTTTAGCGGTAAAAATGAAACTCTACTTATATCATGTGAAACAAAGGAATAGTTTCACTTCGGCTCAAACCACCCCTACTTTACACTCCAAGGTTCCCTGTGCTCCTCTGTAAGCTCCTGTGTGGATGGGCTTTGTTTCACTTCACACAAGGTTTGGATTCCCATACGAATCTATGGGGTATGCAAAACCCTCTTGATTCAGGTAAAATGCAGGTCAGAAGCAAGTCAACTGCAGGTCAAAAGCATCTGTCTATGAATTCTGAATGATCTCAGATGCGTCTCAAACTATCACTATCGACACAAGTCTGAAGCCCATAGACACAGTCCCATAGACAGGGAAGAGAAGAAGCCATGTTTAAAGTGTAGTGAAACTCTCAAACTTATCCAGATCAAACATATATACATTGCCCTCCAAAGTATTTCTTTAGATATTAGCCCAAGAACTTAGGGTTATCATGTTTCCAAACAGCTCTGACTCTCTCAACTCCACTTCCCTGAACATCCTGTCCAGCACAAGATCACAAGGAACAGAGCAGTCTGTAGCAGCCGTCCATCTACTAGCTTGGAAAACGTAGAAGGGAGGAGCAGAGGGGAGGGGGCGGCTCACCCTGCTGTGCCTGTATGTTTGTAGAGACACACAAAGCTTACTAGCACACACAAAAGTGGCTCCATAGGACCCTGCAAAGGAAAGGAGCCACCCCAAAACAGGATATCAGGGCCAGTGCTCAGGGGGGCAGCTGCAACTAAAACGTTTAAAGATCAAGGAGCAGCATCCATTGTATGTGCTTCATTCAGCATTTGGAAACCAACCTTTTAACTTTAATATCATTTTAAGCTCCAAGTTGCTCCAGCTTGGTAGCGCTAATGACTCTCTGCCAGCCTCCAATGGCAGCACTGGTGCCCAGTGATTGGTCCCTCAGACACACAGCACTGCATTATGGGAATAATATATGAAGGAGCGTAAGTCACATCCTTGTCTATACCTGGAAGATATTTCACTTCTTGGGGGCCGAGCAGAGCAGTGCGGGAGCAACAGGGAGGTAAGTATAAGCAACTGGGGGGAACATCAGTTAAATGAATCTGTTGCAAAACAAAAGCAGATAATTGTAAGGTGTATGGGCACCTTTACACTCAGTACTCACCTCCTATCCAGCGCTGTCCCCTGAAGACTACTTGCTCTGTGATCCAGCAATAGGCCGTTATATGCTGAGTTTTGGGTCACCGGAGGACACAGTACATGTCCTCCCGTGACCCTGAAGAGAACTATGGGCAAAAAAGGTTGCCTCATAGTTCTCCTTTAATATGTTTTCAGTTGTTTATTTTTGTTATTTAATAACTCAATTTTTGCCATTGTATTAACTGTAATTATGCTCTTTAATAATTTATTCTGTTCTCATTTATTCCCCTTTATAGTATTCTGAGAGGTGCTTTTACAGTGTTCTGAGAGATCATTGATGGCATTGTCAAACGCTTTGATGGGATTTGTCGTACAAACGTTCATTGAGAAATCTACCAGTGTATAACCTACATAAGCTACCATACACTATTATCATTCTTTTGTTAAACCTGCGGGCTGAACAGAAGAAATCTAACAGATTCCTTCATCCATGTTGTTTAGCGTCGCCAGAATATTGTATTCTGACAGCCGGCGCTTGCCGATGCATTTTTTTTCAGAAGGTCAGCAATAGAAATCTACATTTTTCTCTTAGTAAAGGTTTACAATAAAAGTTATACTTCATAGCTATGTCTTCTACTGTTAAAAGTTGGATTATGGTTTTAAACCGTGTGACAGCCATTGTTCCTCCAATGTGCATCTGCATCACCCAACAACACATTTGAAGGAGTTTGCCATGAGCTGACTCTCATGAGTTTACTGTATGTAAACTTGTCTATACCATATGCTCTTAGCTCTGAGGCTAAATAGATGATTTCATAAAGTCACATTGACTTGAGATTGATCACATGAACCCATGTGGCTGTGTGACAGGAAACACCATCTGTACTTGGGCTAGGGTTGCCACCTGTCCAGGATTCACCTGGACAGTTCGGGTTTTGAATGCTGTGTCCGGGTTTCATGGCACCAGGAACCTGGACACAAGATGTCAAGTAGACGGGGGCAACCAAAATTAAGATAGGGGCTACTGCCCCTTACTGAAAATAGCCTCAACTGTGATATTTACATATTAATGGGTGGTGCCTTTTACATATGAATAAGCCATGACTCATTCTCCCCCAAAAATATGTCTGCGTGTCGCTAGAGTGTTCGGGTTTCGCATTAAGTAAAGGTGGCAACCCTAACTTGGGCTGTCAGGTGACCAACATCTTCTACATCCCCAATTATAAAACATAACTGCTTTTATGTATCAGCATCTGTCATTACGGTGTAGAGTTTTGTTTCTTTATAGTAATATTAGAAATAGAAATCATGGAAATCACAATTAACCGGCATTCCTCAGGACTAGTAATGTGAACTGGTAAAGTAGACGAAAGGACTACTTTTTTTCTTACTTTTTAATTTTTATTTATTTTTTACATTTTTAGCTTGTTTTATTTATTTTTTTATAATTTTCTATCTTATTGTTGATTTATTTTTCATAATTATTTTCTTATTATTTAAAACGGCCGGATTCCCCAATTACCGCCCGGCACTACATGTTCCGTGCGTCGGGGGACTCCACGGCGCTGCCGCCCCTCTGCTACGTGCCGCGTTAGGCTGGGCCTCTGTGGCCTTTTGGGCAATCCGGGCCTGGTTACCAAGTTAACCCAGCAAATCACACATGGATTGGAGAAGTGGAGAAGGATCACACATTGGAAAGTCAACTTTCCAAAGGAGAGTAGGCTCCTCACCCTTGGGTGACCCCAATTAGACTGCTGAAGTCCCTGATTTGGAGGGAATGGCCCTCTTATGGAACAAATTCCACTGTTCCTCTTTCCTCCTCAGC